GTTCAGCCCTAAATGTGTTTTGATTGAACTATTCGTGATCTTAAGGTGTTCAATTTTAGGGCTCCTTACTCATATATCTTCTTGGATGGAGGACTCGTGAACATGGTTATAAAAAGGTAAGTATTGATTCTGAGTTGAAACGATAGTCAGTCAGCTACAAAGTAGGACCAGGCACATATACGCATTGGTCCAAGTTGCCATACGGCATTAGCATAACCGCTTATTGAATGATTTTTTATGTCTATGAACCGTAAAATTCATCTGCAACAAATTTATTTAAAACTGAAGTCTCACTCTTAGTTGCACATAAGGCACAGTTGATCAGTGACTTAAAAAGTTTTGTTAATTATCATTACATATTAAATATCAAATCAGATCTGCTTGTCATGACCAATATTTAAATAGTTAATGTTGGCAACAGTCTCTTTAATTATCAAACATATGATCTTATCTTTTTTTAACGTCTATAGGATCGTCTGTTGATGGTGAAGATAATTATTATAATAGTTCAGATTCCATTTTGACTATGCTACAATTAGATTGTGAAATAATGAATGCTACACTATTACAATCACCTGTATATAATTCTCATGAAAGTCACACACCTAATAACCATTAATCAATTATTCATTTAACTCCCCTATTTTTATCCATCTTTTTCTGCTTTCATTTTTATTAGTAATGATTATTTGTATAATTTTTCCTTCAGTGTTTTCATTATGAACGATTCAACATGTTCATTGTTAAAAATTTCATATCTCATTTCACTAAATAATAATAACGTTACTTACATTTCAATTATCCTAATTTCTGTTATTATAGTCCATTTATTGATGATCAATTATATTGTTCTGTTTTACTTCTTGTATTATCGTTTCTTTCCTCCTTGTCGTGATCAATTTTGTGTGTTTTGTTTTTTTAAATGTTTATTTATAATGAAAACCATTTTTCTTTAAGAACAAAACAATAATAATAAGCACTCAATTCATCTTCAATTTATTACTACTGTTTAACTTTTTTTGTAATTTTCAACTAATGTATGTTAGTTAACTGAGTGCAATAAAAAATTGGAAAAAAAAGTTTGCTAATATTATTTATTTTCTAAGTTAATATGTAGTAGTATGTAACTTATTATTTCCTATCGTATCTGTTCTATTGATAGAATGTGATTCGTTTTCTGATGTTTTCAATTTATTCTTTAAACAGAACATATTGAGTTACACTGCTCTGTATTCATGAGGAATTGACTAAAAGTCAAGTGCACAGTAATCAGTCACACGTTTTCAAAATAATAGATTCAATCAGAAAGGGATATTCCTACAATGCAGACATATAAAGCACAGGATTCATGGGAATTTGAGTATAATATGAACTCCAACCAGGAATTCTGAAAATTCCGACAGCTTAAACAAGCAGTCTGACTAAATTTGGCCACTGTAAGCGCTTTCCGAATCTTTTATGTCAACTAGCAAAGAGCCGATAGTCCTGTGTTAATCTCATTCAGGTTCATGCTTACAGTTTCCAATTCAGGTAGATGCTTTGACTATATGTTAGTTGATTATGACCTGAATCTGATAATCAAAAATATATCCGATCACCGAATGAAATTGTTTGTGGTCACTAGAGATAAAGGTGGGTTATAATCTATGTTTAGAGATATTTACAAACACTAGTAACAGAGGACACAACCGGTACCATTGGTCATTAATAACGACACATATTCATATCAAATTTCCTAAGACTGTTACTGACAGCATTCAGCTTTCATTTAACAATAAGTTACGCTATTCAGCAAATTGTACGGTTATGTGGGTGAATCCTAGTTTATAAATTCCTTACAAATTTTAAAAGAATATATTTATTATTCAATACCATGCAAGTCTTTTAATGTTTACAACTTAATAGTGCTTTATTCGAGTATCAAATTTACCGCAAAACTCGAGAAAGTTATACTTAGGTATCTTCCAAAAATATGATAGGATCTGCCAAAGTTATACTCTTCGTAAACAAATTTAGCCTTTACAAAACATCCCACGGATTTCTTACGACAAGCGAAGAATAGGGTTTATGAGATCGCACTATGATGGAGTCAGAGAGCTATCCCGGACAGATATTTGGTAATGATTGTCAAAAGAAAGAGAAATGTATTCAAAAAGATGGACTGCTGAAAACTAGATAAAAAATAGTGTTAATCGACCACAAAAGAAAAAGAATATATCAATCCAACTTGGTTAGAAAACTAGTCATATGGCAAAGAGGATTAGTCGACATTAAGTAGATTAGTTTTCACAGCTAAAGGATTTGAAACTCTTGTAATGAAAAGTTCAAAATCAAAGAACGTATCATATATGAGGTCAAGCATCATGAAAAATTACGTGATAAAAAGGGTAAATTCAAAGGACGGAAATGTATGTATATAGTCCTTTATAAAACATATCTCAGACGATAAAGAAGTCATCATAGCCACTTGCGCGATACTAAACATGACGTGAATTTAAAAAAATGAACAGGCAATCGACTTTTATTTCTAGGATTGAGAAAAATCATGGAAATTTAGGGGTTAAAGTTTGACTTGTATTTAAATGTCAGTGGTTTGAAATGTCTGAATGACATAAATGGATTACGTGTACATAGATTGTTAGCTTCTATAAATGTTTTCTTTTTTACAAGTCCAATATGTGTTGGTGTGATATAGATTGGATTGTAGCATGTTCAGTGCAGTATTGGTGACTATTTCTTATCCAATCAACGCTAGCGGATACTTCTAGAATAATCTTGTGCAAAAATTATAAAATACAATGAAGGTCCTGCACAACCGTGTTCTGATTTGGAGACTTGCTGAGTGAAGTTGTGCAGAAATATTAAGCAATAAAAGCTTATATGAGCGTCATAACACTATGCCATAAGATTACTCTCTCCATTGTTCCAGGGCTATGATCGTAACTTCATAAATTTAAACTTCCTTCTGGTTCTCCTGCTGAACAAACGACTGTTTAGCGACAAACAGTCCATTTTCCAGGTATGTTAATATCTGTTAAAATATAGATTACCATCAGGAGTATCGAATTAGGAAGAAACAGCTGTCCAATGTTCCCTAGTATTCAGTGGTCTTCGCGCTTAACACGGTTCTTGACGTAAATTAAAACAAAGCCAAAAAAAATTACCGAAAATAGTCCTTCAATAGAAGGAAGCTATGTACTGAAAAATGTTTCTCAGATAAACTATCAAACCTTTCCATGGTTAAACGTGGTAAAATTGATTGCAAAGTATAAATTTCACCCAACGAATTGTCGAATCTCAAGCATATTAGCTGATTTGTATCCATATAATTCCAGTATTAATTTCTGATATTAGGAGGATCTAGGATATATATATATATATATATATATATATATATATATATATATATATATATATATATATATATATATATACTTCGCTTTAGTTTGAGTGGATGGTTTTAAGCTCTAAACATAGGGCTACACTGAATTGACCACTTTCTCATATAATGAAATTAATCATACATTAACTGAATGTAAAAAGATATTTCAAAATGAATGTCTGAAAGTAGAAAAACTCTTCAGTGATCAATACAAACAAATGATGCTACTGGGTCACATTTACATACTCGTTTAGAAACAAGAAATTTAGCTTAGTTTTCAAGTCATAATTACCTATACATATTAGTTAAATCTCAGGTAAAGCAGATTCCAAGAAATACTTTTAAGTAAAATTAAAATTATGTCTACCTTAATCATGCATCACAGATATTGTAGCTAGTAGGATACTTGTAAAGCAAGCGTCAGCAAATAATTAAGAGTAGGAGCTGTAAAATACTTGAAAGTTTCTGGTTGAATAAAAAGTGTCACACAGAAATGAAACACTTCTTTAACTTATTCCAGTATTCAACTTGACTATTGAACTATTTATAAATAGGAAAAGTTAGGTACAGCTAAATTTAGGATAGATAATAGGATTCTAAATATTTTATGAGATCCGTATAAACACCAAACCATCAACCCTCGGGTCTGGATAAAACCATACAAATGACGTTTGAGACATTTAAAAATAATCACTGGCACTTCCTAAAAACATGTGTAGGAGTTCATCTTTTACTTAATTTAACAAAGTTGTCATATATTATATCTTTGGACAGAAATCAAATATTGTTTAGTACAGATGGGCTATTGAGTTTCTTTGATATTTTATCTCTTACATAGGATTCGTTTCTTTGAGGGATACTGTATTCACAAGAACGTCGTCTCTAATCAATCAAATGCAACCCGACACACTTCTATGTAGGCTAAAAATTCCCCTATTTTGATCTGATTCATTTTCCAAACGTCCTATAGAGATGTTAGACACCAACCATAGGATACTAGAAGAAAATTACCTGTATTCTATTTATAAACATAGATAGTTACCAACTATTCACAGCTAAGATCTGTAGATGATTCTAATTCTCTCGTTTATAACCAAGCCATCTTCATTCTTACGATTTTATGGCGGCCATTAGAAGCTCGTATGATTGTAAGTTTTAATTCCTGCGTAAAATTTATTAGTTTTCTCAACTTACTAAAATCGACTGAAAAATGGTTTGTAACTGGATTATGATTAATTGAACTAGTTTCTCCTTATTCCGATCATTGATTCTTTTAATCATCAAAATCTTTGGACTGCCTTTCTATGAATCGATATAATTGCTTACTCCAAATTACATCCTACTACATGTTTTTATTATCATTTATCACATTAAGTTATCTTTAAAATACATTTTACTCGAAATAAGTCTGATTTTGATGCTTATTATTCTAAGACCCAACTATAATAAAATCGCATACAGCAAATAATCTCATGAACTCAGTTGGTCATAACTGACTTTCGTTTTGCACGTTACTAATTATTGATACTTTTTTTTGGAGAATTTTCAATGTACACTTTCTACATCTATAGTAATTAATTACATATACTTTAACAATTAAAAATCAATCACATATTTTCTAATAATTTAATGATAAAATGTTTAATAATTTATTAAGTTAACAAATTCATTAACTTGGTGAACCGAGATTTTAAGTTGCACTCATTCTAGATTTAATCTAACAGCTTTACGGATTAAATTGATTTTTTGAACTGGATAAATTTCATCAAGTTAGTTGGATTAATTCAACATTTAACGGTTAAACACAAACATGTTTATTAGTGCTCCAAAAGCATATTAGAATTAATAAAAAACACAAAAGAGAAAGAAAAGTGCTGACCTAAAAACAAGCAAACCAATGAATAGAATTAACGATAAGAAATAGTGAAGAATTATCTTTCGTATAAAGTAATATTTGATACAAATTAGAATTAAACCGAAAAAAAGGATATTATAAAATAATATGTAGAAGGATAGAAACGATCATTCCTATTTAAAAGTACTACTAATGGATACAAACAAGATGAGTCCAATTATACAAAAAAATTTTTAAAAAAGACTAAACAATAAACATGTTTAGAATCAAATTAACTTTTTCCAAAAAAAAACAGATCAAAATGATAAATCAGAATGAAATAGCCAAAAGAAAATATTATCATGCTTGTCACGTATATAAGAATAAAGTAAACAGATTTTTTTCGAGAAATAAGTATCAAGTAAAAATATACATACTTTCCTAATTTATTTTTTTTTTTTAAAAACATTGATTAATCTGCCTAATAAATACATATGGAAATAAACAGCTGAGACAAATTAATTGAGTTACTTTAATTGTATACAATATTGTCTCCCGTATACACGAATATAAATTGATTACACGTATATCACAAAATAATTTGATTTCTGGCGCTTTGTGATAATTCCTTATGTGGTAGAACTATGCAGTTCAGAACAATAACTTCAGGAGGAATTTCCACATTGGAGCCTAAGACGAAAACAAATCATGGAAATTTAAAACAATGTATACATGATATGAACAGTAATCCGAATCTATAAGTTATCACAATCGTTTGATTTTAAAATGGTTCAGAAAATCACAAAACAAATCTTACTGTTATATCCCGATGAGAATAATGAATGGTAACTGTTGGGATCCATTTATGGACTATTACTTTATGTATATTTTCATCGTATAATTGATAAGTAACTAAACTATGCATATTCGTGTTCCTCTTGTCATAAGCTTTATTTTGACCTATGAATTATTATTATACGATTTACCATTCTTGAATTATGCCCTGTCCATTAATTACCACCTCCCTTATTCACAGCCACATTTGGCTAAATCTTGTACAAATGTTGTTTTTTTATTTTATGGTACGATGTGGTCTGTCTGGTTGGTACATAAACCCAGCTTCGGTTTGGGCACCCGGGCAGTATCACAGCCCTCACATATATCAAATGAGATTCGTGTGGCGCATATGTATTTGGTGCCTCCTTGTACCAATACCTATGTGTTAAAATAAATACATAAACCCAGTATGTTTGAAATAAATTATTCATATCACAGAGGCTTGAGATTGGTGTTCTGGACTTAACTGTCAGGGCTGGGTGGTAAGCAGGACCGATAAGGACTTTAGACAGCTCGTACGGGTTTTATGCGTGATTGGTCACATCGATAATTCGCTGTTCTCTAATTGGGGGTATCAGTACGTTATACATTGATAGGGTCCCCAAATGCCCTGGTACGGCCGAGAGTGGGGAGAGTCCGCTCTCCCTCTCGAAATCCTCTCACATGGCCATGCGTATATAGCCTCTGCCAGGGAAGTCCTACTCACTGCCTTCTCGTGGCGGGGGTGTTGTTTACAAAAATGAGAGGACGAAAAGCGAATGTCCGGCGCTTTAACCGGACCCCAAACCAATGGTGCACATGGGCTCCAGTATCCTGCGGGAACAAATGGCGTATGAACCAATCGTTGGTCACCGGCTACCATGGGACTGCATCTCCTCACGATGCTCCACTGCCTTGTGGGTCAGACGTTCAGGTCAAAGGCTCGGGGTGTGGCCCCCTAAGACAACCACCTGCTTCGGTTTGGGCACCCGGGCAGTATCACAGCCCTCACACAAATCAATTGAGATTTGTGTGGCGCATATGTATTTTGGTGCCTCCCTGTACCTATACTTATGTGTTAAAATAAAATAAAATAAAAACATTGATAGGAGCACAAACCCACATGATATAAAACCTACTAAAACTGATTGTAAGTTCTTCCAACTTTATGAAATTTTACGAACTGAAGTGTTTATTTAGGGATTGAATACAGCTTTTATTACAATGTATTTACAAATATTGAAATGTAAAATTTAAATGAATGAATAAAAAACCCCACATTATTAAAGAGGAATTACATTGTTTCGAAATGATTATCTCTGTTAATAGGTACTCTAGTAATTGGATCTTTAAATGTAATCATCTGACCTCAAGTGATTTGGTACAGCCAAAAGTGTGGAGAGTTCGCTCTCATTCTTAAAATGCTCTCATAAAACCCGGTGGCTATGGGGTTTATCTTCACGTGATGGAGATGTATTTGGTGAAAATAATAGAGTAGAAAGTGAACGTCCGGCCTTAAACCGAGTTAGTAGATATAAAGCATTCGCCTTAGGGAGCTGGAAAATCCTGATTTTCAACTAGTGTAGATGACCAACAAGAACCTCGGGGGGATGAAAGCTATTTCAACTAAACTTAGCCACTGGCTGCCATCAGGTTGCACGCACTGTGACCCCCTAAGAAAACTGATTTTTTCGCCAGGTAGTATTTCACTCCACTCACAAATATGGTAATCGGTAATTAAAGAAAAATGATCGATTTGTTTTTCTTTATTACTAGCTGAATCGAAATATGCTGTTCACTTCATTTAAATGTATCTGTTTTATGTTGCTTCATCTTTCGATTTTGCTTAACTTCCATTCTGTATTAACCTTTATATTTCGGCAAACTCAAATGCTCGTCTCTGTCAAATTTTTTTTCTTACACGGTTTCAGATGACTTCATGAATGCTGTCACTGAATACGAATTTATGAATGTAAGTGTACCACATAAACCTCCCTCTCTTATCTGACAGGAGTCATTCTTTATTTATTTTAACTGGTATGTTTCTCCCTGTTAGACACAATTTTTGTTCACCAATTTGCCATTATACTCTCCTCCCTTCATTAAATTATTTTCAATATTATTCGTAGCAAACATATTTTTCAGCGCCTAGCTATGCCAGAGCTTATTTGTATTAGTTATTAAGTATGGTAACTTGGTATTTGACCATTAAGTATATGTCCTCTTTCAACAAGACTTTAAAAAGGCGCTAAAAACTTGTTTGGAATAAAATTATTGTTTTAAAATACACCCGGCTTCGAACCAATTTGCTGAACGGTCAACAGAACCAAAAAATATCTTCACCTATACGATTGCATAATACATATTTTAGTCAATTTTCGATAGCCCCTTAGTCTCCAAAAATGATGTAGGTGGATAGTCGTTGGTACATACATACAGTAAATGTTATAAGTAGGTTGAGTGACGTAATATATTCCATCAGATATAATAGGTTTTCTTGATATATGTTTATTTGAATTTTTCAATTATGAAGTAAGATGTTCCATTCAAAACCCTGTGAACGACCACAACTTTATGACAAAATTCAAAGTACTACTGAAAGATGCGTGGTTTAGAAATGAGATGAGATTAATGTATTAGTTTGGCTGACAGTAAAACTAAATGTTGTAAATTTCTGTCAACGATATCCTGAGACGAAGACTATACTGAAAGGAAACTCGGGAAACATTTAATAACCGTGTAACCAGTGTATTTGGGACTGTCAATTGTAATAGTCTTCAGGTCAGAGACGAATCTTAGTATCTTCAGATTATTTCGCGGCATGCATACATACATATATGTTGTAAAAATAACTTTAGAATTTATAACAACTAGTCCCTTTGATAAATTTGGATAATGCGATGAGAAGACAAAGGTCATCAGAAATATGTGACATATTTGCGCATTTTGAACAATTTGATCACACATATACTTGTTAAAACTATTCATGCAACAAGACAAATTAAAACGTAAGGGGAAACAGAGATAATAATAAACTACGCAATGTGAAAACCACGTATGATAGTAACTTTAGAATTCCTGACAATTTCTAGACTCGGTCAAGTTGGTATAAATTTATAAAAATTACACACACTGATTATCATTTACCTATACTCATTTCGTACACACAGATATTGATCTAAATTAGACAGTATTTAATCTTCTTTACTCATCATTATATTGCTTTTTATATTATGTGTTATGGCAGATTATAAATATTTATAGTCCATCTATTGTAATAATAAGCAGTAGATTAGACTTACCAATCACAGTAATAGATGGATTTAGTTGACCTTTAACATTGAAAACAGGTAAAACTTCAAGTTTGGTAAATTGCTTATTAGGATTAGGATCATTAGGTGTACCTTCGACACGAGCCCATTCCCCAATAACTGTATTCCATCCAATTACTGCATTCAGGCAACAAGCGTGTGCACGAATTTCAACATCCCTGAGCACAATACATTCTCGTAGACGTACGCCTGCTTGGATTACAGCTCGCTCACCTATACTTACGTTAGGTCCTATCTAAAAATCGATAGAAAAAAACCATAATCATAAAGAGATTTAGAGTTAATCGTTTAACAGATTAAAATTTAACAAAAAGAAAATACATCAATTTACTCAGAACTTAGAAATTAATTTAATCTTGTGAAATTTTTAAATATAAGTATATTGAGAATTATATGATACAGTAGTACGTTTACACTATTTTCTAAACCGTTTGCAAGCAAGTATTTTCTGTATAAACTATTAAAAACTGAAAATGATCTTTAGATATGATATGAAACTGATGTGAACAGAGAAACAAGAAGCTTTTATAAAACTACGGAAGCTATTTTTCGGGACGTTATTTCAGTTAATTCGAAGCTTGTAAAACATTAACATTTATTTTTATCTCTAGTCTATTCTACAGAACATAAGCTTTCGTTTGATGTATGATTCACTGCCATAACCTTTTTTGTTCCAAAACTATTGTAATTTAAACACAATATTTTGCACCCTATTTTCTACACTTTGAATCGACCAGCCCCATAGAACCCACCCAACATCGAAGCAGCACCCACGGACCTCCCAATAGATGCTGGCCCACCAACAATTGAAGAGATCAGCACGGCCATCAGACAAATCAAGAGTGACAAAGCAGCAGGACCAGACAACATTCCAGCAGAGGCACTGAAAGCCGCAACTGCAAGGATACTCCACATTCTCTTCAATAAGATTTTGGATGATGAACAAGTACCAAGAGACTGGAAAGGACTTCTGATCAAAATACCAAAGAAAGGCGATCTCAGCAACTGTGATAACTACAGGAGCGTCACTCTTCTCTCAACACCAGGAAAAGTCTTCAACAGGGTATCGTTAAACAGGATGAAGGTCTCCGACTTCGAGACCAACAGGTTGGATTCCGTAAGGATCGATCGTGTACAGACCAAATTGCAACTCTATGGATCATTGTGGAACAATCAATTGAATGGAATTTATCGCTCTACATCAACTGCATTGACTATGAAAAAGCATTTGACAGCGTGGACAGAACAACACAATGGAAGCTTCTTCGACGCTACGGTGTGCCTCAGAAGATAGTCAATATCATAGGGAATACCTATGATGGATTAAACTGCAAAATCGTGCATGGAGGACAGTTGAAAAACTCCTTCGAAGTAAAGACCGGTGTCAGGAAAGGTTGCTTACCTTTTCTCTTTCTCCTGGTGATCGACTGGATCATGAAGACGTCAACATCTGAAGGGAAGCACGGGATACAGTGGACGTCTAGGAAGCAATTGGACGACCTAGACTTCGCAGATGATCAAGGCTCTTCTATCGCAAACGCAACACTAAATGCAGGAGAAGACGACCAGTGTAACAGTAGCCTCAGCAGCAGTACGTCTCAATATACACAAAGGGAAAAACAAGGTTCTCCAATACAACACAGCATACAACAATCGAGTCACACTTGAGGGATAAGCTTTGGAAGATATAAAATCCTTCACATATCTGGGCAGTATCATTGATGAACACGGTGGATCTGATGCAGGTGTGAAGGTGCGGATTGGCAAAGCAAGAGCAGCATATTTACAACTGAAGAATATCTGGAACCCGAAACAACTGTCAACCAACACCAATGTCGGGACTTTTAATACAAATGTCAAGGCAGTTCTACTGTATGGGGCCGAAATTCGGAAAACTACGAAAGCCATCAGCCAGAAGATACAAGTGTTTATTAACAGTTGTCTGCGCAAAATACTTCGGATCCGCTGGCCGGACACTATTAGCAACAACCTACTGTGGGAGGGAACAAATCAGATCCCAGTGAAGGAAGAAATCAGGAAGAAGCGTTGGAAGTGGATAGGACACACATTGAGGAAAGCACCGAACTGCGTCACAAGACAAGCCCTCATATGGAATCCTGAAGGCCGAAGGAGGAGAGGAAGACCAAAGAACACATTACGTCGGGAAATGGAGACAGACATGAGAAAAATGAACAAGAAATGGATGGGACTAGAAAAGAAGGCCCAGGACAGATTGGATCGGAGAATACTGGTCGGTGGCCTATGCTCCATTAGGAGTAACAGGCGTGAGTAAGTAAATATTTTCTACACTAATCCCCAGTTTTGGACATGACTGTATTTGTATGAATGATGGATAGTGGCTAGCAGTGGAATCCAGGAGGCGCGCTCGCTCTATTTGGAAATCGTCGGCTGGATGTACCTGCACCTCAGAGTTGATGTTCACTCTGGGACTCGAACCCAGTACCATTCGCTTCAAACGCCATCGCCTTATCCACTCAGCTACTGAGTCCTGATAGCCACTTGCTTGTGCAATGGCGTGAATTTCAATTCACTTGGTATTGTTCGGTTTGTATCTTCCCATTGATTGTATTTTCCTAATTATTGTGCGTTGTGGTCGGTCAGTCATCTATTTATTTATGTACCTTTTCACATTAATCTGAAATTCGGGGCTTGTCTCCCCTCACTCCCGTGCTTGTCAGTCAATCCGGCGATAGAATAGTTTTCTTTTCTCTACCCCACTTCGAACTCACGCATACTAGCCTCAACGTTAAGCCAGTCAGCCTATCGCCCAAGGTCTTAATCTAGATTAGACAAGTATCTCATTACTAAAAGTGGGTAGACAGATCGAGGTCGTAACAGAAACGAATACATACACTCCCTATGATGTAAAAGTTATAAGCGCCAGGGTAGTCAGGTAAGAAATAACACTAACGCTATGTACGGAATCGTATGCTTCTCAAATGAAGTATGTGGGTCAGTAATAAAATAACAAAATAAATAGTATCGACTAAGAATAAGCAGTTAGATAATTGTATGGACCAGATACTACTATATTATAGATCTATCTATTTTCAGTTTCCTTAAAAAATTAGCTTTTTTATTTGTTAAAATTTACAAGCGTTTAAAATAATTCAAAAATTTATAGTTTGAAACTGAACGAATATAAAGTAAATGAATACCATAAGGATTCTCTTCAATCACTGAAAAGCCTGGCAAAACACAAAAGGTTTGAAGACTTAAAGTCACAAAACGTCTTTGAAATCATTTTGATGGAAGTGAATAAATAAATCATATCAGTATGGGGTGGTGGAACTTGTTGAGTTTTTAATGGAGATCATGAATCGAACAGTATTAGACCCTCATCGAAAACCTGGAATCACTGGACGGCCATTTCGTCCTAGTATGGGATTCCTCAGTAGAGAAAATCATATGGAGAGATGCAGACTTTCTACTTAAAATCTACAGTCAATGATTAAAGGTGTAATGATCTTGTCCGAAATCACTTTCAATGGCGTCGATGCATTCATCTTTTATCTTGCTCTAAATCATTAGCTTAGTATAACATTATACCTTATATCCTTTATTCCGATTCATTCCTTTTGAAAAAAACATCGCTTATATTCAGGCTTTTACTCAAATATATATTATTCCTATCTTCTACCTTTTATCTGGTCTATTTCTTTCGTAATGAATCGTGATGTAACAACTTGAACTGGTAAGCACACTCGTACTAGTCTTTATTATCGTCCATGACTAATCGGATATTTCTATTAACTTCAATAATGAAATCGTTATGCTACAGCTGTTTTATTTCTATGCAAGTATGCTGGTGAAAATATTTTCAATAATATAAAGTTTAAAAAGATTCTTTTATATTCAAATAAACAGAGTATGACTTTTGATTCACTGCTTATTATCATTCTGATATTATGATAAGAATAAATCATTTTTCGTATCACATGTATACTTACAACAGCTGTTCGATCGATTGAAGCAGTTGGATGTATGAATACATGACCAATTATAATCGGTCCACAAATTGATGGTTGGCGATTTCCATTCATCACAACTAATGATGAATTAATGGGATCATCTAACATTTGTAGGTTTGATGAACTTGGTATTGTCATTTTAGCAAGTCTATGAGGATGGGTTCTTTCATAAAGTGACAATATATGACGATTAGCGTAGATTACAGCACTGAACAAAAATAAAATGAGATAAATTATTCAGTTATCAAGATATATGACAAAATTTCTGAACTTAAAAAATATAATACCAGATAGGCAATATTAAAAAATAGTAACTGAGATACAACGATCATATTTAAATTTCCATTTATATATTAGTTGAAATTTATATAACAATTAAAGACATTTACAAAACAAATAAATCTCCGTAAACTTCTTTAGAGATTACTGTTATGTGGTGCAACTGAACTTCACGTATAAAGTAATAAACATTCATCTTTAGTAGAAGTGACTACACTGAAAAATTAAATATATAAAATGATGTGCCCTGCCACAGACTATTTGGAATATAGAACTGAATAACAAGTTGAAATAAGTGTATTTGGATTACAACTACCTCCCATTCCTATTCAGTGGAAAAACATGATGTTAAGATAGGCTCATAGATTCAATTTGTCTATGGAATAGCCACAAAATACAAAATTACGCAATTAAATCTATCAAAACAATATAGTAACGATATTTAACTACAGAAGAGGTTAATTAAGTGACTCTGTAATTACTACTGGGTATCCATGATATTTTGACCTCACATTAAATGATTAATCGGAGTTCAGTTCAGTCTACTTTAAGTCAACATCTAACTAGTTATCAGTGAAATGATACGAAAAAATTAGTGTATTTTCTTCCTCTTTTCTGGCGATTAAATAAATTTATGTTTTTTCCCATTTGCATCGCATTGTGTTTTTTTTTATAGAAAATTGCGTTGTTTCTAGTCAAGGAAAATGTAATCAAACTTCTTGTTCATAAACCGTCGTTAACACAGAAGTTGTATTATCATAAATTGAAAAAGTTAAGCCATTTAGGCCATATGTATATAAAAATCAGAGAGTACTAAGATAAAACTTTGAAGCATTTAGTTTCGTAGGAGATATGTTAATTTGATTAGTCAGTGGAATGAATATGTCGGTCTATAAAAGATCAAGTGCATAACATGTTGATGTGAGTAGTGATATCCTATAAAATAGAGAATACAACAGTCCAAATAAAATGCTTCATGTGCATAATTATCACCAACTCAACATCGGTTTCTGAAACCTATTGGATTTGTTTGCGATATTTTCCATTACATAAACACTGAGTAACGGTAAGTGATATGTTAGTCTTCAACTGAACAAGGGGCATACGGAACGTAGAGTATCAGTTCTTAACACTAGTGGATGATTACACGAATAAATCGAATGTGTATTACAAACCAAAAAAAAAAACTTCTAATGTTGTCAGATAACAGGAGATATGTGTTGTATCAATTTTACTGTGCCTCCTAAAAATACGCCGTTTGATTGCTTTTTATATTATTGATATTCTAGCGGAAAGTTAGTTCTGCTGGTGACCATAATAAAATGCAATAAATTCAGTTTTCTGAAACAGTCAACGCGTATGTATATTAAGGGAAGAGTTTTGATCAGAATAAAAAATATCTCACTCCAATCCGAATGCAATCCAAACATTTGTATCAGTGACAAGTCATTAGGGTTCCCCACCATGTTTTAGATAGATGGAAAGCATTGTGATCTACACTAACCATAATAAAGCTTCGCCCAAGTATCTTAATGACGTATGACTTTAAACTTCGACTAAACATTTTACAACCATAAGATTTCTCACATTAGTTTACTAGTTTAACATGTCAGTTAAGTGGTCAACAAGAAACCTCGGATCTACATTACATGCTAGCTGGCACTCGTCAATAAGGCATACGTGCAATCTTTAGGAGATTGATTTTACCTGGTGGATTCAGACACGTGTCATTCAGTTTCACAGCCTGAGACACTAAGACTGGGCGTTTTGGGTTGTGATTGACTTCATGTACGACTGGGATATGTACATTGATTGATCACTGAGTAGTGGTTAACGTAATATTTGTCTAGCGCTCACAGCTGATCAAACTATATCAAAAAGTGTGTTAAAATACATAATTAAAGCTGAAAATAACTAAAATTAGCCACAAACATGAAAAACCCATCTTATGCAAATAATGGCACTTTCGTGCAAAACATTATACATCAATAAATTCAATTATTAACGAGTTATAAAAGATTACCACATCTAAGAAAAACTAGTCTTTTGATGTGTTTTTCACAAGAATAGATAGCATAAACAGATAACTTCCTAAACTTTGTTACCCAGCAAATTTGATTTGACTCCAAAACCGATTGGTATGATAAACAAATAAAGTCCCACTTCCAGCTAACGGTTGACATATTTCTCGTTCTAAGTGAATAGTTTCTTTGCATGAAGGTCTTAAATCATAACTAGAGTTGGATATGAAACAAACAGAAAAGATAGACCAAATCAAAGTATAGTTTTTTATCAATAAAAAATCCAGTACACAAGATTTACAGGACAATAAGAACAACAGTATAATAATAATCAACCATGTACAGTTAAATACGTGTTATGTTGTTGTCTTGATAGTATTAACGAACGTTAGAAATGGTATAAACTAGTGAACATCTAAAAGTGAGAAACCGTCAGTGAGAAACAAAACAATAAACTTAGATACCTGGACAATTTCGATTTTTCATTAAAAATAATACGAAAATTTAAAGTAGTTGTTATAAATAAATGTGAATATAAAGAAAAGATGCTATCTATACTGGGTGACGAGAGTAAATTCTTGCCGGACGTTTTATCCAATATTAATGTTAGAAAATTGGAATCCAGAGTGAAATCCAATCTATTAAAGCTTCTTAAAATGAACGTCATAAACACTGAGGAGTTTAATGTATTAAAACCTTCGGGTTCTGTTCTCCTGAATTTATATGGATTACCTAAAGTTCATAAACCTAATATTCCATTACGACCAATTTTATCTATGCGCGGTTCACCCACACATGAGCTAGCTAAATGGCTTGTAAAATTGTTAAACCCAATTCGTATTAAACTATGTAAGTTTTCCTTAAAAGATACATTTGAACTGATTGATCTTCTTGGGGACATTAATATTAAAGATAAGTCTTTGTATTCTTTTGATGTAAACTCTCTCTTCACGAATGTTCCGTTAACAAAGACGGTGGATTTCCTTTGTGACTATATTTCTAAAAATTTTTCCCTTTTTCCTATTCCGTTATCATTGTTGAAAGAATTACTTTTGTTATGTACTGCTAATGTTCAATTCACGTTCGATGGTGAATATTTTCGGCAAGTTGATGGTGTAGCTATGGGCAGCCCTTTGGGGCCTCTCCTAGCTGATGTATTTATGTCATATTCTCGCCAGCATCAACCTTAATTTTATTTATTTTTCAGCCTCCCGTGTTTTTATGCTTCCCGGGAGCAGCAAGTCTTTATGGACAAGAACTCCTAACCCCTTTAGTTTATGTTCATTCTGTGGTAGTAAATCTTCTTTATTGATAGGTTTAAACACCATTTTAAGTACCCTGGTTTGATTATATTTCAAGTCCATTCAACTACCTAATCCACAAACTTTTGACAAGGTGACTCCGGGTCATTAGCTAGTTTAATAGCTCTTTTGTCAACTCAACGTCATACTCAAAGCAAGTACTGGGTTCTGAGCCTTAACTCTCTCTGATTCTATGGAAGACAACTGGCCTGTCACTGTGATCCGTCCTCAATTTCTCAGCTACTGTTTGGGAGACTGGCTTTTCCTTAGCAACATTAGGTCGTTTCTTATTCTTGATCTATTACCATTCATCAACTTTTAATGGAGTAACAGTCACAGTCGCGTTGCACACAGTGTGGGACCCCGGATGATTGTCGATGACATGGGTGCTAAGGATGTTGCTTTCCTGTTAGAAATAGACCAGACCTTGAGATTACGTTTTACAAGCGTCTCCTGCCCGCCACCATTTGGAGTGCGAGGAATAAAAAATTTCCTTTCTTGGGCTTTTATTTCTAACAGACCATCTCGCAGGCTGTTCTTTCCATGTTTGCTCACGTAAGTCAATAGACTCTAAGTTTACTTGAAGAAACTTCACACCGATTTGTGTACCGGCTGCTCGAGTATCGTTTGATGTGTTTCGATTACAATCGCTAATGCTCCTTTGTGCAGCACTCACCAGAGTATCGGCAGCGTAGGTGTTGGCAGTTGTTCTTTTACACTGTCCAGTCATCAATCAGAGGTTTTTAGAAGGAAGCTAGACACAAGCAAAACCTATATGCAAAAGAAACTGATGACCAGAAGAAAGTGAAAAACTGTGAATTGCTATAACCAAAAGTACAGAGAAATTAAAACAATCAATGTACTCAAAAGTACAGCGGATAAATTACTTTCGAAAGAAAACGGTACTCTTGGCGACTACTTTAACCGAAATAAATTCTATTAAAGTGAAGACAGTAGTCTTGGTGCGTAGTAAACAATCAAAACAATAAAATTAACTCAGCGAGGAAAAATACCACTGTTCTTTTTAAATACTGCCAGTGGCGTTCGCTGGAGATACGCTGGATGTATGTGATAATGGTAATGGCACAGGAGTGATGAGACATCTACGAGATGGGCCTCTTGCAGAGAAGAGATGAGGATCTATTGGTGCGTAAGCTTTTGTCAGGTTTCATATTAAAGTTATCCACTGGGAAGGCTGTGGACATTCGGATCAAGAGTGCGTTTCAGATGGAGGCAAATCTTAGCGGAAGAATAGGGATCACACATGGATTTTTGCTCTCTGATATAATAATAATAATAATAATTTATATTCTGAAAAATGATAATTACAGAATTCACACCAGTTTACAGGCATGATCAATTTGATATAAATAATATCATAATATGTATAGAACAAACATGTGATATGAGTTTTAAGTTTACTAGTTCAGTAATTGTTTAGGTATTACAGCGATCCAATACATCAGCCGGGAACATGTAATATTTCTTAACTGGACAGCTTGTTGATTTATGATTGGTGTAATTAAGGTCATTTAGTGTGCCAGAGGGTTGCCTTTCTGTGTGTGGTATTCTGGATTTGGTAGAGTGTTTGCGTCTGGATAACCTGGCGAACTCAGCTTGTTATGTGGTGATATTAGATTGCTTCTTACTTACTTGTAGCCCAGCAAGAACTATCCTAAAGTTTGTAGTCTGGATCTGTTCCTCACTCCTTTCAGCATATACAGTGCTTAAAAGCACTATTTTTCGAAAAGCTTCCTTATCCAAGGATCCCAAAGCAGTCGAACCAGAATGTAGGGAAGAAAGAGCTTGAAGAGGCATTCGGAAAATTATTCGAGAAAACTGATCCGAGCTGACCGTTTGTTTAAAGAAATGCGCAACACGTTATGTTCAGTAGAGAACTGGTGAGGATGCGTATGATAGAGCCTTCAATTAGAGTGTGTTCAGTTAACCTAACGAGGTCAGAAAAAATGTTGAAGGCCCGCACTTTATTATTCCTTCATCTTCACATTAATCATTGTCTGTTCTAGCTATATTTTCTTCGATCTTCTTAACCTTCTATCGCCAGGCGTTTCACTTTCTATTAGTGATACATACTACGTGTGTCTATGTTTTGGACGATAGATCCTCAAAAACTCATAGTTTGTAATTTTATCTTATGGAGCTTGTATGCAGATGTCTTCGTGTCTCTTTAGCTGTCATTGAGTTAAAAATGAATAATAATCTATTTTCTTTTAAAAAACAAGTGGATAAAGCCAGCCAAATCTGAAGAGTTGCTCCAATGTTCATATAAAATAATGTTTAGCCCCACATATTTGTTTGGTCTCACAGAAAGCATTTGCGATCGGAGAGGGAATAAGCATGGGATAGACAGCTTGAGCATGAATATTCATTAAATTGGAGTGTTACTTGAAAATTAATACCAGTATAAACGTGATATCAAGTTTTATGATAGAGAGTTTTAATAATTCTCTGCTCAGTGAGAGAAACGGGATTCTAGACGTAAGCGACTTGATTTCGATTTTTGAACTTTCTAAAAAATGTCCTCTCAGATGATCGGTCGTAGGTCGACGAAGAAAGATGGGACATAATAGTGCCAATACCATCATTCAATACACGTTAAGCCAGTGTTAGATCATCCTGTAACCTGTGGTAAGACGACGGAAATATGTTTAGGCGTCTCAGTCTGTCTTCGCAAGACAAGACAGGGGGACCTATTTGGATGCCTTTGCTTAAAAGTACATTGATAAAAGAGAACTAGACTAAGTAGTCATACCTTGACTATTCCACAACAAATGAATCAAATTCAGTAGGCATAAATATTGTCTGTTACGCTCCTCTTCCTTTCTGTTTCTTACTCTCCTTTTCAACTCCATCGATATATGCCACCGAAAACACATATGAAACAAGTAACTTCATCCTGCGCCATAGTTAATGCTTCAGCTGTTCCAGAAGGATATAAGGTCACAATTTCTAGAAGTTCTCAACAGTATGTAGATTTATTCTCCACCATCAGTTGCACGTTGCAACGCAACATCCACAAAGTGCACCAATTGTCATATTTACAATACGAGTCTAACTAACTTTTCAACCTATCTATGGAATATGGGACCTATCCATCTGTATGTAAAACATCTCTTATCACCCCTAGATTCAAAACAGGATCACGTAGTGATATTGTTAACCATAGGCCAATTAATTTAACATCCGCCCTCTCAAGAACTATGGAAAAAATCATCTATAAACAGCGATTATCATTTTACTCTCGGATAGTCTGATTAGCCCATCCCAACACGGGTTTATGACTAAACGCTCATGTTTCACGTCGCACCTGAAATTTTTGGTCAAATTACCCAGAGAAGAGATGTTGGTCAGTCAGTGATAATTCTTTACTTCGATTTTAGTAAGGCTTTCGACAGTGTCTCACACAAACTTCTTCTTCTAAAACTCTCTTCATTTGTCATACAGAATCCCCTTCTATGTTGGCTCAAATTTTTTTCAGAAGAACCTAGCCAAATAGTTCGCTTTGGATCTTGCTACTCTCAACCTGTAAATGTAACCAGTGGGGTTATACAAGGAAGTGTGATTGATCCATTACTCTTTCTTCTTTTTAACAATGACGTGTGTTCCCTCTTTCAGTATGGTAAACCTTTCCTTTTTGCCGATGACCTAAAAGTAGTTTATTCATTCTCTTCTCCCACCAAAGAAAGCTATATTTCAGCCGTAATCCAAGAAGAAATAAACAAGTTATACGAATGGACTGTTTCGTGGAATTTGCCACCTAATGTTGACAAAAGTGGATTTATTCACATTGGCCGTTGCTTTAACTTAAATCTGACTATACACAAACATACATTGAAACCCCTCAACACTGTTTGTGACTTGGGTTTAAGATATAGCAACAGTCTGAACTTTTCTGAGCACATTGCATCTCAAGTATCCAAAGCCAGAAAGCTCATTGGATCCACAATGATAAACTTCAATAATATTGAATAGAGATGATTACTATACAGAAAATGTATCTTACCCATTCTTGAATATAGTATTTTAGTTTACAGTAATTGCAGGCATAATGACCTGATTAAAATTGAAGGTGTTCAAAGAAGGTTCACCAATGCTGTTTTTGGGTATTCCGACAACAAGGATTATCAACAAAGATGTCAACAACTCAAATTAGAACCTCTCTGGATCAGACGTATCAAATTAGACCTTGTCTTTATCTACCGGCTTATTAACGCTATTTCTTACTCTTAGGTATCCACCTCTTCATACTCTATGATATCACACAATCTACGCAATAAGGAAAATACTCTAGAGATTCCAAGAACCCACACAAACTTACGCCATCATTTCTTCGTTATTCGCTACTCAACCACGTGGAACAGATTGCCAGTGGTCCTCTGTTGCAGTGAAGCTACAACCCGGTTCAGAAGTCTCCTTGATGATTTTCTTTCCGAAATTGGACTGTGTTACCTATTGAGTATCAATGTATTTAATAATTATTTATACAAACAAGGTCCATCATCCATCTAATTGACTGAAAAGCGAAATGCAATCTTTGGAACTTTTAACGTCTATTTTACTTTACTTTCTTTCTGTTCATCTTAATATATGAAATCTTCTTATGTCCGTATCTAAAATTATTACAGTTATTAATATCATTATTGGTCCCTCGACACATAAGATATTCTTTTCATCTCTTTTTATTCTTTCGAACATATATTATTCCTAAATATCCAAAGTCTATAACTAAAACCAAATTATCTCACGGTACACTTAAATAAATTAAATTCTCCGATTCATTTTATCTTCGCCACACACATATATATATAACACATAGAAATTTATATTTGATTATCTTTTGCAG